ATGCGTTGCCACCCGTGAGGACTAAGATGGAATGCCTCATTTCCAGTAAAAAGGGCCTCCGGCCACCTGCACTCACTAAGCGAAACGCAGAGTTAAACCTCTACTTCACGCTGGTATTCTGTGAGGTCGTGGTACCACCCCAGTTTTTTTTGATGATCTGATAAATGATCTTGATAAAACTGATGATCTTCAAACGGCTGAAATCTTTTTTCATGAATCCTAAGAGCACTCTCGATTAAGTCACCTTACAAACAAAAAAAACCTAAATCAAAATCGGTAAATCCGTTTGGGAGCTACGATACCACAGACAGACACACATATACACAGATAAAAAGATACACAGATACACACATTAAATATATATAAAACCCCTCTTTTCTGTCGGGGATTAAAAACTTAACCTGGTACCTATTATTAGAAATAGTACACTAACGTACCTACAAAGCGTGCGAAAGTGCGAATATACTTTCATACATAATATAAACGTATTTACATTCCTGTCCTTTCAATACAGTTAAATCACATTCTAGAGGCCTTAATACTTGGAGATTGAAATTTCAACTCTCCGACCTATTGCAATAACTTCTAGTCGCAAAAATTATATAAATACAAATATAATATTCTCAAAAAATGATGCGAGATTATGTAACGGCGTGTTTTGAAATATTGCAAATTGGCAAAAGCTAATTTAATTATTCGATATTGATCAATTCGGCTTACGTTACGCCGTTTTTTTGAACATTCGTTCCTATGTTCATCTCTTTCTTTTATTTGCTAGTGAAAAAGGACGGAGTGATGGAATGATCCATGTTACAGATAACATTTGCAGCGAACTGCATATCATTGTGCATTCTCAGTAACACAAGTGTCGTCGACCTAGCATAATAAGCCAACTAAACTAAACTTTGCCAAGTTGTTCCCACATAAAGTATTTTATACGATGAGCTTACTAACATTTCGATAAAATACTAGTTATCACTACTTTTGACAGCAGTAAATTTAGACTGATTTAGACATATCCATTTGTTTCATTAGTGAAAGTTGGGCTTTTGTGATGTCTTTAAATTTAATGGAAAATACTTAAAATTTTAATAGGTTATTTTGAGGATACAAATATGCGGGTGACAAGGTTAGTTCGATAAGGTACCATAATAAATAAACCTGTTCTTCTTTCTGAATTGTTTTGACTATATATAAAACTTGAATTTTGTCAGTGGTTATTTTAATTGATGACGATATGAGGATGTCTTAAGCAAGAATAATAATAATAATAATAATAAACGATTCATTACAATAGACCGGATATAACTTTAATTGACAAATTAAATAAAATAGTATACCTAATTGATATAGCAATCCCAAATACCCATAATCTACAAAAGACCATTACTGAAAAAATTCTTAAATACACAGAACTAAAAGAAGAAGTAACTAGAATCTGGAAAATGAACAAAGTATACATTGTGCCGCTGGTGCTCTCCAGTACTGGTGTGATCCCGAAATGTTTGCCCCACTCCCTTAAACTATTAGATCTTCCTGAAAATAGTTATATTACCATGCAAAAAGCAGCCATCCTCAACACTTGTCGTATAGTCCGAAAATTTTTGCAAGAAGACACCTCAAATTTTGATTCCCAAAGGGACGCGCACTTGGCTTAGGCCCGTGAGCATTTCTTAAAAACCAAGATCTTAGAAAATCTTGAGAAAAAAAGGAGTAGAAAAGATAATAATAAATAATAATTTATTTCGTCAAACATTAAAGTTACATTATATGATCAGTGATCGAGGTCACCTAGTAAGCAAAATAATGCTTACTAGATGACTTCGCTCTTCCATAGCTAAAAATTACAGTATTATTAACGAAATAAAGTAACCAGTAGGGAATAATAAAGACAGTAAAAGCATGTTTTTAGTATCCTACCTTTTAATTTGATTTTAGTATCCTACCTAGTCTTATAGCATTAATATATCAATAAATCAATAATTATTAGGTTGTATTTCATATATGTAGTGTGCAAGTGTATTAGGTATCTACTTGTGGTATGTGGTGTTGTATGTGAGTTTGTACATGTTGTATGAGTAGTAGATAGGCTTTTAAGTTTTTACTGCACTTAAAAGTTGGAAGAAAGTTATAGGCTATATGGCGTCTCACTGCTGGGCACAGGGCTCCCCTCATTTCTGAGGGGGTATTAGGGCAAGGAAATGTCTGCCGGGCTGCCCCAATGCGTGTTGACGAACTTCACAATACAAATCTGCGATTTTTTTTTTAGTTTCTCATACATGCACGTCCTCACGATGTTTCCCTTCACCGCCGAGCACGTGGTAAATCAGCACTTAAAATTGCAATTAACAATTTCATTTTTGTCTGTCTGTCCGTTTGTTCCGGCTAATCTCCGAAAAAAACTGTTATTTTAACATTACAAACAGACACTTCAATTTTATTTATTTAGTATAGATAGTAGTATATGACTAGGTGTTCCCCGCGACTTCGCCCGCATTACATCATGGGTTTAAATTTTTTTTTGCGCAGAACTCTAATTCTTTTACTTAAATAAAGGTAGCCTAAGTTACTCCTTATAGCATCAACTACCTGCCAGTGAAAATCCCCTCAAAATCGGTCCAGCCGTTTCTGAGATTAGCCGGAACAAAACAGACAGACAGACTGACAGACAGACAAAAAATTTTAAAAATTGTTTTTTTGTTGTAAGTGCCGTAAATACTTTCATATGCATTTAGTAAAAAGCTCTTATTTGAAATTACGTACAGACACTTCAATTTTATTTATTTGTATAGATAGGGCTTGTGGATATAATGTTCGACAGGGCGTTTGATGTATCGATGCATGCGGCATTCTTTTCACGCTGAACATCTCGATCGTCATTTATTTTCTACACAGAGCAGAGGGTACGATCTGAGTGCACGCTATATTTGAGCTAATGCATGCTCTACACTCAAGAGTAAGATCTCAGTAAAGAGCGTTCTTGTTTTACAGTATCCTGAGTAGGCCGCATAAAATGCCGCTTAAAATGTGTGCCAAACACACCACTATTCCACACGCCCCGCTGATTAAATCTTACAATTCAAACGCAGATTTCGTGAACACTAATCTTTTGGCACATCGGGCATCAGAAATATTTTGCCGCACATGCCTTATCAGGACTATGAATTTGTAATTACATTAAGCGTTTGTGATGTCCATTTTTCGATATCTATTGTTCTCACGGAACATGGAATTATACGTCTTTGATTGTCGCCGCAAAGTAAGCGTTTATAGAACATCGAAGGTTATGCAAACAAACCGAATGTAGGATTTTTACATAATATTACTTAGACTCTTTGTAGAGATTTTTTTACTACCTAAATTTTATTTAAATTAGCGGATTTTTGGAAGCTAAGGTTATCGTGATATCAACTATTATGATTTTCTATAACTATTTATGATATTCTAGAGTTTTTAAAGAAGTATTAGACTTTGCATAGTGAATTTAACTTTAGTTAATAAAACTTAATTTAATTTATTTCGAAGTCTAACAAACTGTTTTTGTAAGTTAAAGAAATACTACAACAATGGCCAGTGTCTGTGCTATGTTTTATTGATTGCTTCAATGTATCGTGAGAAATCCCATACAGTTCAATATCTTATGTCTAATTTTTATACGTGGTATAGCCATGTTGCAACTATATTAGTAGTATAGTTGTAGCACGAATGGGTCGGCTCGACCGAGGAAGGACCACGCTCTCACAGAATACCAGCGTAAAATAGCAGCCTAACGCTGCTGTGTTTCGTATGGTGAGTGTAGAGAACCGGAGACCCTTTTTACTGGAAACGAGGCATTCCATCTTAGTCCTCACGGGTGACAACGCATCTGCATTTTGATTCGTAATCGAAGATAGATTTAGATATCTATGGGCCACAGCAATCACTTACCATCATGTGGACTGTGTGCTCGTTTCTCACCTTTATTCTATAAAAAAAAAATTACCATTCCTGATAATGATTATTTACTACGCTATAAACAAAATCAAATAATATATTTTTAGATTTTTTATGTGTTCTACCGGTTCCGGCATAGAAAGAAGCTATAAATTTTGGTGTTACGCTTTTATTGAATTTTGCTTACATGCAAACAAATTAGGAGATTAAATTAAAAGTTTGGTAAATTGCTTAAGTGCAAAAAATCAAAGATCATCATTTTATTTGATAACATTGCAGATTTCAAGATTATTTACGCGGCTTATGAAACTTAAAAATGAAAATACTTTTACTAGATAATGGAAAAGGTTTGGGAATCACCCACGGTAGGTGCATTAGATAAAGTGTACTTTAAAAAGTACAGATAAAACATATATACGCTCAATTGCTGGGTACAGGTCTCCTCTTATTTATTAATTGGGTTATTAATTGGTCCATAGCCATCTATTAATTTCTTAAAATACTAAATATATGTAAATTTTAACATTTAATAAAAAGTCAAAGCCTCATTTCACATTCAGAAGTCGGTGCTTAAACAAAGTGTATAGATGAAATTAATCCCCGGTTTTACTTTTCATGAAAAGTAAAATTTTTTGACTCTTTTAAGTCGACCCTGCTTCAAAGAATATCGAGAGCTTAATAAGCTAACAACTAGACAACACTTAAATAATTACATTGAAAATTTCATCCCCTATTTTCCCACCCTTATAGTGGAAAGTTTTCTCTAAAATAATATGGGACCAAAGTATATTTAATAAAATAAATAATTATTAAAATGGGTTTACAATTGACGAAAAAATAGCGTAACATACACATAAAAACAGTGGAAATGACAACCTCCTACTTTTTCGAAGTGTGAATAAACAACGAATGCCCAGTAATAATTTATATCGTAAAATCGTGTTACATAATAACAAATGCACATATATCAAACAACTAACACATTGACGTTAATAATAAAGAGGATAAAATTTTATGATTACATTGACATTAATGTAAGTAAGGAATGGATACGAAAGTTAACTTACAAATAGACAGTGTGGTTGGGTGAGCATGTTGCGGCTCCGACGATTGTTGGTAGAGTGGCGGGGTATGGTGGCGCTGCGCTCACGCACTGCGGCTTCGGTCTACGAACTAACCGCGACTGGATGTGACCGCTCTACAATTTCGTCTTATTTAACTGATTTAAGTAAGAGTAAATGGACTATTACTCGATACAATCTCGATAACTATATCCCTGAAATATTTTTATATGCAACTCATTGTTTTGGGTTTCTTTCCACTTTTATTTGTATTGCATGTCACAGATGTACTGCGAAAAGTACCTAATTATTGCCCAGCGGCCGAGGTAAAGCCACTGGCGAAAAAGCAATATTATGTAAAAAATGTCAGAAAAACAATTCCATGGCATATTCAGGTCTCTTCTAAATTCTGAGAGAATTTTTAGGGCAAGGTGCAAGTGTGGTGTAGTGGACTTCACATATTGTATAGCTTTAAAAAAATCCTTTTTTCACCATCAGTAATCGGTTCTTCGAGCTATATCGCCGGTCTATTGCCATTTCAGCTTATGTCGGTTACTATGTTTCTACTGGTACTGCCATTCATGGAAACTCCGGACATTCCATTGCTTGCTTTTCAGATTTCTCATACAGCCAGCAGTGAAGGAATATATCATAACTAACCACTCCGATCCATATGTTATAACTAGCAATACGCCCTGATGGTACACTCCTGTATTCAGGTTTTGAGGAATACGTATGTCTTAATCACCCGACCGTCTTGGCCCTGTAGTAATATGATAACTTATATTTATTTTGATACGTGATGCTGCAAACAGTGCACAGTTCATAGACTACAAAACATCTTCACAAATGTTCTGCTAGGGCCTATTTTTTTAATTTTAAATGTAGTAAGTTTGTCTTTATATTTTATACAATTGGTCTTATTTCTTTCGGTTCTGTAATATACATAATAATAGAGTAAACCAAGAAGTCATTCCTTGTGTGTTTTCGTTCAAAATTTGAATTATCTGATTCGTATAGGAAATTTATGTATTTTGTACAAAAGTATCACTTTACTTAAATAGCATGGGTTAAACCACAGATTCTTTTCGATTTCTAGATTAATATTATGCGGAAAAATCTCAAGGTCTATACTTGCTGTTGTGTTCACATTTCTTTATATATTTCTTCTTATTCTTAAAATACAATAAAAGCATTCATTTTTTTTTTAAAAAAACGTTTCCTCTTATTCTTACTCTTTCTACTGTGGAGGCGGTGTACGTAAAATCAAAATTTTATACGTGATTTTGTATTCTAATCCATTCTGCTATTTAAAGTTTAAAAATATTTTTGATACGAGTTAAAAAAGCTTCGAGCTTCCAGTTAAGTTTTATTTCAATGGCAATGTCCTTGAGAGTAAATGCAAGCACGCTGTGCTTTGTCCTAGTTAAGTGATAAGCCTCTTAGACTTTTAGATCTTTTAACACAGGTGGGCATAGTAACTGCCAAATTATTTGCACGTTGTTGCAATATATGATTTGATCCCATTTTTGCTGCGACTATATGATACAGTGCACAAACAAACACTTTCATAGATAACATACCAAAGAATAAAGTATTGAAGATGTATTTAGAATTATGAATACATATTTATTCAAAGATTTTAATTTCTTGATTTGAATTGTACTTTATGATGAATCCAACTCGGTATTCTTCAAAATCTTTAAAAAAAATTAAGATGTGGTCATTCACTGCTGCCCTTATGAAAAACTAGCAGTTAATGTCGCACAATGAGCTATAGTGAAGGAAATGCTATGCTCGGGAATTTTACGCGTGATAAAATCCGTATCGAATATATCCGGAATAAACCTAGAATAATAACTTGGAGTGGCAGTCGGCCGGTCATATAGGGAAGAAAGGTTCTCGAGTGGTAGCCTAGTACCAGAAAACGAAGAGTAGGGCGACCCCCACTGGATGGAATGACGACCTGGTAAGAGATGATAACGGAGAGTAACGATAATGCCAATATTTCTGCGATAATAGTCAGATAACTGCCTTGTTCGAACACATCGTGTTCCCACTATGACTCAACGGAACGCGCCAATACTAGCCCATACAAAGCAAGCACAGGCGCCATGTAAATAAGCACAGTCTAGGCACTGTACCTAATCTTCTTAGCAATTTTTTCAAGTGGTAGAGCGACGCTGCAGTTATATTATTTTGGTGTTAGCACGAATGGGTCGACCAGAGTAAAACCACGCCCTCACAGAATACTAGCGTAAAATAGCAGTTTCATGCTGTTGCATTTCGTAAGGTACATGTATACAACCGGAGACTCTTTTTGGTAAAACCGACATTCCATCTTTGCCCTCAAGGAACAACAACTCACATGCATTTTGAATTTTAAGCGAGAAAAAGTAGATGTCTATGGGCCTCAGCATCCATTTACCATCAGGTGGACTGTATGTTCGTTTGTCAACCTTATTAGATAAAAAAATTGCGATTAGCCTGACTAGTTATCAACTAAGGAAAATCGTATGTGTGGTTCCTAATTCGATAGAAAGAGAAAGAGTGATAAAAATTAAATTAGGTTAACACAAAGTACCTAGCTATTTGCTCTCTGTACAAGTATTTCCTTTTCAAGGTAAGCAACTTTTACGGACATTTGACCTTACCAAAAGCATAATATGTCACTTGAAACAGCTGATGAGTGTTAACCATACTTGTTCAGTAGGTCAACGGTGTTTAGCTGTTGCTTGGTAAGTAACAATGCATACGTGGCCTGTGGAAAAAATGGCAGTTTTAATTATTTTTAAGAACATGAACCCAACACTAGAAACTTATTCTGCATCATGGAGACGTTTTACACAAACATCTAGACCCATATTTGCCTGTCCTATATCAGGAATCATTAGCCGTTTAATACGTGGAACGTTTGATAAGCGGATTAGCGTTAACAGTTCCTGAAATTTTCTGCAGTTAATTTGGACGCCCTTTGTCAGGGAATCTTCTAATGAGCAATGTACCTGGTATATATTAGATATTTCAAAGTATATATTAGATATTTCAAAGAACTAAAGCTTATCCAAGCATTCCTGGTCCGACTTGGAAGATTCTTATAGTTAATATGCATTATGTACACATAAAGAAATGTGAAAAGTGCTTCCAACTTCGTTGTATTTTTGTAAATAAAAGAAACATTATTTGATTGGCGTATCGGTGGGGTATTCAAAATTCCTTAAATACGTGTTACCAAGTTTCTAATCGAATAAAAAAAAACCAATAGTAATAATTTTTATTTACTTAGCCAATTACAATTCATACATTTTGACGAATAAATATTAATCAATAAAATATTATGTACAACTATTATACGTCGCGCTCCATTTGCCGGCGTAAGACTCGTGGATAGCTTCTCGTAACTGCGTTGCTATACGGGGCTATAAAAGTGGTGCAGACCGGCGCGCGCACATCTCCGGAACAGCGAGAAGAAGCGAAGCTGCGGCGTTGAAGAAACGGCTCAAAAATGATCGCCGGCGTGGGAAGACGATGCGGCACTGATGATATTTGCGGCTCTTTCTTGTTTCTATATTAGAACGTTAAATATATACGTCAAATTATCTCGCATCGATATGCAGCCTGCAGTATCTCAGTAGCCGGGGGTGATTAGGAAATAAATGTTTTCTTCAGACCTTTGCCTTCTGCGTTATGGTAGCAACAGAGTATACATTATTTATTACCATTTAGGGTTGATTAGCCTGGCTGCTACATCACTCTCCCCCTAGCGAAAGCGTACCGGAGGCTTGACGATTCGCCCATGTCTCGTAATTTTTAAAATAGGTTTCATCTGGGTTGATGTAGGTGATGGGTTTTTAAGATTCCTCTCTGGTTGTTGAGATGATGATGATGATAATGGTGATGGTGAATCCTCTGAAATATCCTCGTTAATAATATAGGCAGGCTTTAGTCGGTCGATCGATATAATTGTACATTTTCTTCCGGGTATTTGTAATTTAAAAGTCTTGCTATTTCGCTCTAATACTTTATACGGTCCTTCGTAGGTAGGTTTAAATTGTTCCTTCACTGCGTCGTTTCTTACAAAAACTTGCTTGCATGTTTTCAAATTTTGATGAATGAACACTGATTTGTTATTTCCGTGTGATGATGTGCGTTTCGACGATAAGACTTTGTTGATTGATTCTCGAAGTAGAGTTACAAAATCGTAATTCATTTCTTGATTATTTGACGATGTTGAAGTGAAGAAGTCACACGGTAGTCTCATGCTGCAGCCGTAGGTTAGCTGAGCGGCGCTAAGACTAGTGTCTGCACGCGGTGTTGCTCGTAGTCCAAGTAGCACTGTAGGTAGCTCATCAATCCACTTTGTATGTTGAGATAAACGAGTTTTAAGTGTGGTCTTCAATATACGATGCCATCGTTCGACTATTCCATTTGATTGAGGATGGTATGCCGTTGTACGTGTCTTCTGTATTCCCATAGTTTGAAGAAGTTTGAGGAATAGGTTGCTTTCGAAGTTTCTTCGTTGATCCGTTGTGATTTAGGTGATCCGAAACGAGTAATCCAATTTTCATAAATTATCCTCGCGACGGATTCAGCTGAAGTATCATCGATTGGTATTGCTTCTGGCCATCTTGTTGTTCTGTCGATCATTATTACGAGGTAACGATGTCCTTACGGTGAAGTAGGTAATGGTCCAACGATGTCAACGTGCAGGTGTTCAAATCTCTCCGTAGGTGGAAATAAATCTAGGCTGCTTGATGTATGCCTTTGTACTTTGCATTTTTGACATTGAATGCATTGTTTCGCCCAGATGCCAACATCCACTTGTATTGAAGGCCAAAAGAATTTTCCAGTGATGAGTTTTCTTGTTGCTCTAACACCTGGATGACTGATGTTGTGCAGTGCATTGAAGACTTCGCGACGACATTCTTCTGGTAGGTATGGTCGCATGGTTGATGTTGATGCTTCACAATAGAAAGGTAGATGCGTCATTGACATTGTAACTTGCTTGACGGACAAGTTACTTTGCTTCGATAGATGTTTGATGTTGTCGCTATCTCTGTCTTGTGCTTCGGCGATCTTGTGATAGTCGATTGATGTAGGCACGTTACACTGTCGATTGGTATGCGACTGAGTGCGTCGGCGACTATGTTGTTCTTCCCATTGATGTGACGTATGTCGGTCGTGAATTCGCTTATGAAAATGAGTTGTATTGCTCGTCTTGGTGTTTCCGATGGTGATGGTTTCTTCTGAAGTACATATGTTAATGGCTTGTGGTCGGTAAAAACGATCAGGTTTAAACCCTCGAACGTTTTTTTTTAAGTGCTTGATAGCCATGTAGGTAGCGAGTAACTCTCGGTCGAATGTCAGTACATTCGACCGAGAGTTATTTTTCAAAGAAGTTCTCCGATACTCAACGTAACTACAGTTAGTTACGTTGAGTATCGGAGAACTTCTTTGAAAAATAGCCAAATGCTTGCCATTTCCGATTGATGTATTGTTGGAGTACAGCTCCCGCTGAGAGATCGGACGCGTCGCTGGAGATAGCAAGGGTTGCTTCGTGTGATGGGTGAGCGAGCAAAGCTGCATTTTGGATCGCAAATTTACAAGCTTCAAATGCCTTCGTGGCTTATTCATTCCATCCGATTGACGTTTTATCTTTTTTCTTCATGTTGTGAAGGTAGGCGTGAAGTGGTGCATGGATTTCAGCGGCTTTAGGTATGTGTTCTCTGTAAATTAATCATCCCAAGAAAACGCCTTTCTTCGATTCTCATCGATCTCAAAGTTCTTCGATTGTTTTAGGTTTCGCATAATCGATGATTGCTCTGACTTTTTTATTAGGCGGTTTATTCCTTCCTTGCTGACGGTGAAACCAAGAAATTGAACTTCTTATTGTCCAAATATGCATTTCGAAGGGTTGATTGTGATTCCATTGTCTTCTAATCGCTGTAGCACGGTGCGTAGATGGGTTTCGTGCGTTTTTTTTTATCAGGGCTTGCAACAAGGAGATCATCAATGAATGCGAAAACGAAATCCAGTCCATGAAGTACTTCGTGTATGAATCTTTAAAAGGTTTGACCAAAGTTCTTCATTCGTTCTTGGAAATTCGAATTATCCCATTGGGGTAATTATTGCTGTCTTCTCTATGTCTTCATCGCGAACTTTTATTTGTTGGTAAGCTCGGTTGAGATCGATGATGGAAAATATAGTCTTATCTGACAGTTGATGAGTAAAATCCTTGACTCGCGGTATTGGGTAACAGTCAGGAGTGGTAATAGAATTCAGTCTTCTGTAATCTCCACAAACTCGTAATTCTCCATTCTTCTTCGGTACAACGTGAAGTGGTGATGACCAAGGGCTTTTGTTTGGAAGGCATATTCCTTGCTCGATCATGTTTTCGAATTCCTTTCGAACTTGTTCGTATCGGTGTGATGCGACTGGACGTGCACGGCAATGAAGTGGTGGTCCATTGGTTTCGATGAAATGTTCAACGTCGTGCTTTGGTGTTAATTTCATTGAAGTTATTCTTGTGATTCCAGGATATTCTTCAAGGATCTTGTGATACGATTGTTGAACATCAAGATTGGTTTTCCCGTCGATGATTCTTCTATTTTTGATGTCGATGATCAACTGGTGATGTTGAAGAAAATCAGCACCGATGATTGGTTTGCTAACTTTAGCGAGGATAAATGTCCATTTGAATGGTCAGCGTAGGTTTAAATCCAGTTGTATTGTTTTTTCTCCATATGTAGGAATCACCGTATTGTTTGCTGCGTAGAGTTGAAAATCCAGTGACTTCATCTTCTGTCTTTGTCTCGGCGGTAAAACTGAGATATTCGCTCCGGTGTCGATAAGGAAGGTAAGCTTGCTTTTTTTATCGGTGACGAAAAGACGGTAGGACTTTTCTGTTACGCTGGATCCCTTCGCATCAAGCGTATTAGTTAGTTTTCTGACTTCATATTTTCATTTTTGGATGTACACGGTGTTGTACATTTTCTTGCCTCAAAACCGAAACGTTGATGATAGTATCAATAAGCGGATCTTGTTCTTGAGCTTGTTCGACTTCTACTTGCAGAGCGGTTGCGATGAAAAGGTGATCTTCGGTGTTGCTGATTGCACTGGTTGTACTGTTGCTGGTAACAGGTTTGATGCTGGGAAGCTTTGAGCGCGGCGACTTCAAATGATAGCTTCCAAATTTCTTCGAGAAGAAACTCGGTATCAAGTGCCTTCGATCATCGATATGTGTGAGCTACTGCTGTTTTCGATTGTCTTGTTCGCCAGGAATGCCAGTTCGTCGAGCTTCGTCTGCGTGCTGAATGTTTCACTCACTGCTAGTACCGATCGAACATGTGGGGGTAGGTGGTTTACCCACATTAGCCGTAGCGTCGAATCTGGGACTTTATCCCGCGCTGAAGTACGCATTCTGCGTAGAAGTTGTGTGGGCTTCTGGTCTCCAAGTACTGTTTCGGATAGAAGTTTCTGTAGCTGGCGACTGTCGGATTCTTCATATGCACAGATCAGACAATCCTTCAGCGAATTATGTTGTATTATGATGACGAACCAAAGTCGGGGTTTATCTCTCCAAAACGGTGGTATTCTCAACGATAGAGATATACCGGTGATTTCTTGTTCCTTGGCCGGGTTTGATGTATATATGCGTCGGATTTCTTCGCTTCTCGCTCCATAATGACGTCTTGATTACACTAATTTATAAATACTGAAGTCTTCCTTGATATTTATTTGATATTTTTCCTAGTACCCGTATTCTTGCAGGGATATTCCTTCTCGGTGTTCATAATGGGGTCAACAATGTAATAATGATGTATGGTGTCCACTATTAACAGACACCGAGTGGTTTAGTGGCGGAGAAATGAAACTATTTTTCTGATGTGCAGGCGAATGGAGTATGGAGTATTTATTTCAGTCAACCCTGCCTATATTTATATGCCAGGCTACGTCTTTAGTTTACCAATAGTAATAATTTTTATTTACTTATGGTAGCAACAGGGTATACATTATTTATTACCGTTAAGGGTTGAATAGCCTGGCTGCTACATTAGTATTCCCTCAAAATGCACAGTTTTTGTTATAGTAGTCGACACCATAGATTAATAATAAGTCATCGCGCGCTCAGACTACATACCGCGCTCCCTGCAAGTAACAGCTCCGTGAGTGCGGCATCTTAATATTGTAGTGTGTATAAGACAATTTGCATGATGCTAGTGTGTGTGAAAAATTGTATATGCCAGCAGCTTAACTATTACCCGATTAATGGGAAAATTTATTTTATGCTATGGCTTAGTAGTTAAGTTCATAGTTATGAATGTATTCCACAATATATTATATATATATAATATATATATAACTACTTTTTTACCATATATATATATATATATATATATATATATGGTGTAATCAAAATAGGGCTTTCTATTTTACGCGTCAATATGAACAATTTTTACTATAGATCTATCTTCCTAATCGCAAGAAAAATCAGGTCTTCCATACATTTTGAGCAAGTTTGTACGAAATTTTGTATGGAATAACAGATTTTGAGATATTTTTTATAGGATCAGGGTGACAAACGAGCACTCAGTCTACCTGATTGTAAGTGGTTGCTGCGGCCCATAGACATATACATCTATCATCGGTTAAGAATCAAAATGCAGATGCGTTGCAACCCCTGAGGACTAAGATGTAATGCCTCGTTTCCAGTAAAAAGGGTCTCCGGTTCTCTACACTCACCATAGGAAACACAGCAGCGTTAATTTTCTGTGTGTAAAACTCCTATTTTACACTGGTATTCTGTGAGAACGTGGTCCGTCCCCGGTCGAGCTGACCCATTCGTGCTACAACTATACCAGTAATATAGCTGCAGTATGGGTCTATCACGTATAAATTGAAAATTTCGAAGATGATCCCATAATAAAAAGTATCCACGTAGACAGACAGAATCATTCCCTAAGTTATTAAGTACTATTTTGTTACACCTTTAGTTAGTATATAAGACTGGGGAAAAAGTTACTTCGTATATTGTATACAAATTCAAGGCGTTTTTGTTTTAAAGTTTTATGACATTTAATTATAATATATATGGGTCCATTCTGTTCGATAATTTGTTACCATCTTGTAGTAAGTGAAATAATAAAAAATAAACGTTGCTGTAGAAATCTTGGGATTTTGATTAAAAAAATGCTACAAGTAGTTTTATTTGATATATTCAATACCAGAGATTTGAAGGAACATGGATTTAGTTATCCCATTTATAATTAAAAAAAAATATAAACTTAAATATTTAAACCTCCAGAAAGCTTTCTTTTAAAGAGCACAAGCAACAAAAGAAAATAATGACTAAAACTTTTAAACCAGTTTTAAGTACTCAAGCAAATACTGGATTTTTAGGAATGTTAGTGTGTATTGATAGTTTCAAACAGATAACTAATCTTGTGATCTGGCGTTATCATGATGAAAGACCACTCCTTTTCTGATTATCAATGCCAAACGTTTCTTTTTCTATTTCTTGCTTGTCTCATTATTTATTGGTAGTAGAGATCCGAATCGATGGTTTTACCCGGCGGTAAAAGCTCATGATAAACTTTCAATACCACCATACACACAGCATCATTTTATTTCGTGTTAATGCAGGTTTCGCTTTAGTCTGTAAACAAATCACATATCACATACAGAAAAAAATCACGTTTCTTGTATGGTCTTCATACAAGAAACGTGATTTTTTGGGTCCTTTAATATTTTACTTGTTTTCTTTTTTATTTTATGTTGTTATTGTAGCAATATAAATACACATACTATGAAAATTCCAAGTATCTACATATTACAGCCTACTGACAGACAGACCGAACGATAGTGGAGACTTGGGTCCCGTTGATACTCTTTGGGTACGGAACCCTAGTAAATGGCAATTATGTCATTTGAGCAATACTACAGAAATAAACATTAAATAATATAGAATTAGGTTATATTATAATAAGTTTAAAATATTAAATTATAAAATATAGTAACAATAAATTCACATATAAAAATCTCAGCCACGGGGAACTTTATTTTTGCATTCGCGGCAACACTGAATAGAGTCATTGATATTTTGTGACTTATTAATGGCTCGTGTTATTTGATGTTAAAATTTCGAAATTGTATGATACTTAATGATAGTATGTGATTCCAGTGTCTTTCTTATTTCTTGTAGTATTATTTTTACACAGTTTCAATACGTAAATTGGTATTTTACTTCGGATTATGATAAAAATTTAATAAAACATTCGGTACGTTCACCTCACACGTTGCCTGCAACGCGACTGGCTCGGGTACGCCGATTTCGGCGTAGTATTTGTTGCGCATTTTACATGAGTGCCGGTGGTATCTAGTCAGAGCGCACGATGACTTATCATTAATCTATGAGTCGACTTTTTCGCTGCAGTGATCCATTTTGCTGATGCTGTTTCATTTTTAAATGTAATTTCAATATTTCCTGGCTTTTCTTTTTTCCCTGGCACACGTTTTGTAGATTCAATATTATCATCAGAAACTGATAATTTATCTGCATTTTTTTGATAATGTCACTAAGTTTTTCT